AAGACTTGAAGAAAACCAACGTCCTCCACATAGACGTGCGGGAGAGGTGGGAGATCGACAGATTTGGAAAAATCCCAGCGTCCATCAACATACCGTGTAAGTTATTAGCACTGCTACGTGGAGATGTTGGGTGTTCCCCTTTGCTTGAAGGTTAAGTCTGTGGACAAGTGGTGGTGACTGAGCAAAGAGGAGCTGTGCTAGACAGCTGCTAGTATCTTGTGAGGCTAAACTTTTCCTCCAGAGGAATTGGAAGCCTTATGGTGTAAGCCTGTCTGTGGATGGAGAATAAATGAGACCTTTTTTTCTGTATTTCCCAGTGGGTGAATTAGTGGAAGCACTACAGATGGATCCAACAGAGTTCAAGAAGCAATACAGTCAAAAGATGCCATCCAAGTCAGACCCTGTGGTTTTCTCCTGTTTGGCAGGAACAAGAAGTAAACAAGCACTTGGTTTTGCCACGTCCTTGGGTTTCAGCAGGTATGACTTGTATGTGTAAGGATGGGATTAATGAGGCTTCCCCCATGAAGCAGAACTCATACTCAGCTTCTTGTGGGCAAGGGTAAAAATTTAAATGTGCAACATGAACAAAATTACTACTCTTGTCTCCACTGAACCTCGAAAGACGCTGTTGGGTGTTGCAGCAAAGTAGGGTGTGTCAATCACCCTGTGAAACAACCCCTCAGCAGCTCTGTGCATGTGCCACAATCTGCTGCAAAACCATGCTCCTGCTGAAGAGTCCTTCTGCCTCTTAGGGCTCCCTTGCCGAGACTGCTTCCTTATGGAGCTTCAGAAGCACTAGTCCTGAGACACAGGATGATCAATTGGAAAGGTGGAGAAGTGCTCGCTTTGGTCGAAGTACAATCTCAGATTAAATAGTTTATGAAACCGCACCCTTTGTTAAATTGCAGTTCTGTACAGTTCACTGTTGACAAAGTACACCTTCACTTTCAGTAAAGCATTAGATTGTTTGTCAGGAGTAAAGCAGTGAAGGCAATAGCTAAAAAGACAATGAGATTGAAAGAGTAAAAGGAAAAGCAATGTTTGGTTGGCAGAATTGTTACACCTGTGCCAGAAGGTGCCTCGCTGGCTTGAAGACTGCAGATCAAATTCAAAAAATTGGTTGTTTGCTCATGTTTTTGCTGAACTGCAATTCATGAACTGGAATATCCCTGCTAATTCTAGTCAAAAGTGTGGAACCACGTTCTTGTTTTATAAATATATTGTTTTAATAAGTGCAAAATATCCTCCATTACCTGTTTTTCATGCTGCCTAATTGAAAGAGTCAATATTGTTTTGCATGGTGGGTTTTTGTTTTCCAGAGTTCAGTTTTGTGCAGGCTTATGTCAGGTCTATAGAGCAGCATGTAGGTTTGCAAGGAAGTAAAGATCAGTTTGCTGCATTTATTTGATGACATCTGAAGTATTAGACATAATAACATGTAAATCTCCCACTGCAGTCAGTCTGTTCTCTCTTTTTTTTAAAAAAGAAGTGGCAAGCTGTTCCATTGATCCAGCTACTACTACTTGCTTGATGTTTGATCTCCAGCATTGTGTCATTTGGAAGAAGAGAGTTACAGAACACACTGCATGGAAGCAGGCAGTGTTAGAATATGAGGAATGTCAATCTGGCTCATTGAAGCTAGGTACAAGTGTATTTGATTACAGAGAATTTCTGTATGGGTTTTTTTTTCCTTTGATTTTTTTGTTGTTGTTTTAGTTTGGGTTTTTTTGCCATGTCCTCTTAGATACCTTTTTCAAGAAGAGTCAGTATTAACATTTATCTTCTGCATATTTTCAGAGTTCAGCAATATGCTGGTGGCTTTGAGGATTGGGTAAAACATGAACCTCCAGAGAAAAAATGAAGATGACTACCCCACGCCTTGCCGCATCAAGGCTTCAGGATGGTTTGTAGGTTTTAGCATTCAAACTACATGCATTCCACTTCGAGAACATGGCCCACTCCTGTTTTCTAGTGTCAATGGACATTGACCTTCAAATAGCTGTACATATCAACTGCTTAGTTTAAATTATATCTGAAGACTATGACATGAAGAGAGAACATTAAATTATTTCGACCTTTACTTTGGGCTATGTTTTTTGGTGAAAGTATGTGAAGGCACCCCAAGTGCTTACTATGTTTACTAAGATTTTTGTATGATGCAGTTTATGACTGTTTAAACTAATGATGATAGACAAAATTATCCTTTCCCAAATATCTCTGTTGGGTAGTTTTAGAATAGTTAAACTGCAAATGTTCTAATGGATTGGGGTAACTGCTGTAAGCACAGATGTATTATACTCCATGTGTAGCTGCAGTTTTGAAATAGTTGCTGGGTTATCGAAGAGTAGGAGTACAAATTTTTAGGTTTGTACTATGTGATTGTAAGGCCAAAACTTCACTACTGGTCAGAAAATACAAAGGGAAACTAACCTGATGCTAGAATACTTACTGTTCCAAATGTTGTGATTGCTTATTTTAAAAGTATATCCATTTTTATACGCAGATCTGCTTCTGAGCACAAAATGCTATAGCGTTCAGTCAACAACTTCTGTTCCCTCAGTATCAAGTGAGAACTTGCCTGTATTTGAAGTTGTTATTATAGAGATGTAATCATTTTAGGCTGGAGAATTTGAGGTGTCCAAGGAAGTTACTAAACTCCCTTCCTTGTACATTAATTTGTGTGTCTTAAAACTTTAAAAAACAAACCGACCCACCCCATGCCTACCTATAAATTTGCATAGCCATAATCCTAAGGATTTTTTTGTTTGTTTTTTAATGCTGTTAACAGTTCAGGGGAACTAGCAAAGGTGAATTGCTTTGGCCTTTAGAAAAATTAAGTCCTAGCACAGAAGTTTGGGACTCTGGAAAAAGGAATTAAAATTTCTGATTCTGCTCCCATTGGTATTGGCAGGCAATGGGCACCTGCCCAATGGCTCTTCCATTCCAGTGAGAAGAGAACCTAAAAAATACACCCTCTCAAGATGAGAGAACAGAGAAGAAAAAGTAACTAATCTTACTAGAATTTTATTTCTAATAAGTCCCGTGGTGTCTCTGCAGTCATTTGTTTCTGGAGGAGAACTCCTGCAGTTGGCACAGCCAGCTGTGTAGTTGTGCTGCCCTGATGCTGTATCTCACAGGGGTTTCTGTTCTCTTGTCTTTGCTAATAATTAGAGACCCTGTGGTGTAGCTGTGATAATAGCGAGTAATGAGGGCATTTTTCTTCAAAATATCATTGACTTTTTGGCAGTCTTATTGCTATACTTTATTTCCAATCCCTTAAAAAAACAACCAAAAAAACGCAAACAAAACCCAGAATTTAGACAAATTTCCAACATACTGGTTTAGTTTAACTGATGAATTAATGGGAGGAAGATGAAATTAAAATGCCAGGATGAGTATGGGTGTTACCTTGTTGTGGTCAATTACTCTGCAATTCTCACTAGTTGTAAGTGACCAATGCTTCCTTTCATAGCTACGTTAAAGTTTGTTGGGAACATCTAAAACTACATAGCCACAAAAAATTAACAACAAACACTTACACTGGGTCACACAAAGATCTGTCTAGCTCATTATTTTCTGTTTGGCAGCAACTCGTAAACATCTGAGGAAGAGCATAAAACAGGATAAGCATGTAGTGATACGATCCCCAGATTATTCTTGTTCACTTCCTTCAGGCTTTGCACATCTTGGTATATTTGGGTATTTGTAACGTTTCAACACCAGCTCCCGGCAGTGTCAGCAGGCTGCGCTGGGTTTAACAACGCATTGTGAGAAGAAGTCTTTCCTTTTGTTGCTTCTCAACTTGCCGTGTATTGTTTCCATTGGATGTTCCCACTTCTGTCGGAAGTGATGAACAGTTGTCACCTCATCAGTCTTCACACCAATTGTGATTTTTTTTTTTTGTTTTTTTAGACCTCTGCTGTCTTTTCTGAGCTGAAGAGTTGTGGGGTCTTTTTATTTTTTTTAACTAGGAAAGCCATTGTATACCTCTTATTTTTCAGTAGTTTTTATTAGTCTTGGTAGATTTAGTTTTTATTAGTAGTTTTTCACAAGGTGTTTCTCAATCTATTTGTAGCTTGTCAAAGTTGATAATTGTTTCTGTCTTCCTCTATCATCTTCTTTATGTGGATATAACTTGCTTTTCAAATGATGCCTTTTGAGTTTATTAACTTGTCTGATCTAGGTAAGTTTGCTTCCTTTCAGATTTTTCCTTAAGTTTTTTTGGCATAGATGGCCTGTGTTTGCTTTGACACTCCACTGTCACCTGTAACCAGATAATCTGAAGACTTTTCAGCTACCTCTCTTCTAATAAGATACATAAAAGTGAGGTATTTCTCTCCTTTGAATTGAAGCACAGTAAAGGTGATTTTTTTTTTGTCTGGTTGGTAGTAAAGCTGTTGAATTCACATTATGTTCCATTTAGAATCATAGAATGGTTTGGGTT